AGGGTGGAAGATACTCCTGCCTGTGCTCCTGCAGCGTGGGGCAGGGGAGGGGAGCGAGACCTTATCTCAACTCTGCTGACAGCCCCGGGGCTTGGCTTCCTTTTTTAAAAAGCTGCCTCTGTTCCTGCACACATGCTTCCATCCCCAATGAGATTTCAAACCCTTGGCATTTGCTTTAAAGGTGAGCCTGCTTTGAAGACTGGTGGGAATCTCAATCACGTTCCTATTCACAGTCAAGGAGGGAGTGGAAACTAAAAATACCAGCCTTTCGGATTTCTCTTTCTCTTCTGAAGCACTGAGGAGAGCCTCACCAAGTCCTCTAAGGGAGTCAGAGAGAATGTCTGGCTCCCCTGCACCGGCGCTGACACCCTGTGGCAGGGTCCGGTCCAGATAGATGCCCAGGACCTCTCAACGGGGTGCTGCTGCCAAGATTCCAAGGCCGTTTTCCCAAACACGTAAAATGAAGTCTCCTTAATGCAGCGCATATTTACCAGGCAAGACAATTTGGCTGTGGAAAAAAAATCTCAGAGACATCAGGACGTTCGGATTATTGAGAGCCAAATTAGCGGACAAGTATTATCCACTCTGTGTGCGGCCTCGACACCGAGCCGTTCTCGCGTTATTAGCAGGCCGTAGAGACCACACTCTCCCGTCCCTGCCCAGGCTGCGCTGATGATGCTGGCAGATGGATATGGTGTTGGGAGGTCAGTCAGTCTTTTCTAAAAGAAGAAATGTTCCTTTAAAGGGCGGGAGCAGGGTCCTTTGAAATCTGTCTGCTGGTTTTTTTCTTCTTCTTTCTGTCTTTTGGAATCAGATTTAAATTAAGACTAGATGAATCACTCTGCCAGTGCCTCACAGAAACAGAGATACCTTAAGAAGGCCAGAAGTATGGACCGTGAGGTTGTATACAAACTGTTCTCCCAATCTGGGGGCTTTCCTCTGCCTGGAGAAAGGCAGCTGGCAAAATACCGATCTTTCTTGCCCACTAGGGTCAGGTTGACCCTTGGCAAAGTATGCGGGCATTCTGATTGGCAGGCTGCATTCTGATTGGCAGGCTGGCTAGCCCTCCCTGGCCAAGGTAGTAGCCATTTGGTAGGACCATATCGAAACTAACTAATAAAGCCAATTAACAGAAAGCTTAATTAACTTATTAACCACCCAACAGTGGGGGAATTGCTAAAAGGTCACTTCAGGACCAGCCGGTCCTTTGCCATCCAATTTCAGCTCAAAGACAAAGTAAGAAAAATATTTACCAAGTAAAACTGAACAAAAGGAAAAATTGCGGAAGATCACAGGCGCCATGGTAACACTCCGTTCCGAGTGCCTCGTGCCTCCAGAAGACAAGCGATAATGATGACAATTTCTGGAAAATTGTATTAGATAATGCTTGCCACCGAGGCTTAAGCGACTCAGCCATTGTTCCCTTGCGTTAAACTTATTTATTCCTTTCATTTGAAATCCCAGGGAGATAAACTCACCCAGAAGAAAACAAGTGGTTTTTGGGATAAATTGCCGAAGAGATTTGCCAGTGCAGCAGGCATGACACCTGGTGACAGAGAAGTGACGGTTTTAGTGGGTCCCATCCGCCCTTCCTCGCTCCCTGTGCCCATCTGGGCCCATCCCAAAGCTCCTCCTGACGGTATGGTGTCTATCAGATGCTTCCAAATCCACAGAGGCCATGATGGAAAGATGGAGGTCTGAGACCATGACCAATGGAGATTTAATGACCAACTCTGATAGTCGTTGGCTCTGTGTCTTGAACTACACTGGGCTTAACTTGCAGTGTCTTAAGAAATAAAGGTAGTAAGACCTGAGTTATTTACACATTCCAAGCATGAAGCCAGGGCCCCATAAATCATATTATCAATGTAAGTGGACTGTTTACATAACAGGGAGCAAGGGGGCTGCTTCCTCGCTAAGCTCTTACTGTATACTCATTTATAAAGCTCTTCTTCTGTACCAGGACCCTGGGTCACTTTGACACAATGACGCCTTTGGCAACCAAGTATTTAACAATGGCCATCTCCAAGGGGTCATTATAATGATTTGAGAGGGCCGGGTTTCGAGCTGGGAACTTGTTAATAACACGTCTGACTCCATCAAAGCTGTTCTCGGGTGGCTACAAGTTGTGATTCTCAAACTCTTTGGAACTGGTACACCTCCACTGTCTTAGGAATGTACTGAAGAGCCTGTATTGGTGTCCCATTTGTGCTGAAGCAAATAACTCTAAGTGCAGTTAAATGTCATAGTGCAAGACACCTGGATATCTTAGTGGCCAGAAATACAAAATAGGGCCCACTGGGCTCAGGTCAAGGTGCCAGCATGGTTGACTAACAGGAGTCTGGTTGTCTGCTTTGTTCAACTTTCAGAGGCCGCCTGTACTGCTTGTTGTGGTCCATTCCTCACGTCACTGTGGCTTCTGTCCTGAGCCTTGCATCTACTTATTCTGCTTTGCTTGTTTCTCTCTGTCCCTTTGTGAGGAACAAGATGAGTGAGGAACAGATCCCATCTGATGAATCCAGGGTTATTGTTTCTTCTAAGGGTCTTTAGCTCAACCATGTCTATGCAGTTTCTAGAGGTTCAGGTATGGACAGTTTGGGAGAGTCAGTCTTTGCTTCCATTACAGGATGCAACCGGAGCTGCCTCACACACACACACTCCCACGCTGTAGAGCCATTCTGCAAAGGTGGGCTGAGTGCTATGAAACCGTGAGCCCAAATAAATCCTTCCTCCCTCAAGCCGTGTCTGTTGGTACGTGTGCTCACAACAATAAGGAAAGTCCCTGATAGAGTGACAGTGTACACCATAAGTGAGAAGTCACAACTAGGAACTCTTTATTGTTATGATAATTATATTGGTCTGTTCTGAACAGCCTTCCCTGACATGTGGATTTATAATACCATCAGACTGGTCATTTGGAAACTATTGGCTCACTAGAAGGCAGACCAATCCTACATTCACACATTTCATGAGATAATAAAACATACTAAATAGTGTCATAACAAGCTTATCAGAAAAGCCTTACATACTGAGAAACAGCCAGTAAATATTCAAAAATTCTAATAGCTGCTTGATATTAAAAAAGATGCCTTTAGCAGCAAACCCTGTTAGCTGGTTTCTTCGAAGGTATGGCTTTGCCTATCACTATGGAAAAATGACTTCTAAATACTTATCTCAAGTAAAGATGATTCTGTGGGAGGGAGTAGCAAGTTCAGTTTGTCACTCAAACAATTGCACAAATGATATTTTCCAAGGCAACCACAACAATGTGTCCTATGATATCAGGGCTTTATCATGTATTATGTTTTGTCACGCAATATTAAAAATAATTAGTAAAGTGACTGCTACTTGTTTTTGCTTCATCAAGAACATTTATATGTGGAAATGATTTGGTTTTCCAGTGTTTCTGTGTTTGGTTTACTGTGAATCTTTCTAATGAAGGAGAGGATGATCCCAGGAGGACTGGCTGCCCATACAGTGGCAGGTAAGGCAGTCTTACCTGTGAGTGCCTTTGCACCATGTTAGCAAATACCAGTGTGATGATGACCCTGTGAAATTCATGATTTTCCTGGGAGCTTAAAATTTCTCTCATATGAAAGACTAAATATGTGTCTTAGTTAGGGTTTCTATGGCATGGTAAGAGACACCATGACCATGGCAACACTTACATGGAAAACATTATATGGGGGGGGGGCTTGCTTACAGTTTCAGAGGTTCAGCCCATTATTATCAGGATGAGGAGCATGGTAGCACACAGACAGACGTGGTGCTGGAGGAGCAGCTGAGAGTCCTACATCTTGAAGTCAACAGGAAGTTGACTGAGACACTGGGAGGTATCCTGAGCATAGGAAACCTCAAAGCCCGCCCCCACAACGACACACTTCCTTAACAAGGCCATACCTACTCCACCAAAGCCACACCTCCTAACAATGCCACTCCATATTATGGGGGCCGATTATATACAACCACCACAGTATTTTTCTGAATAACTTTATAATTTTGTTCTGAGAAGCAAACATTGTTAGCGTATGTAAAAGTGATTGCATGTGTGGGAAGAGGAGCAGCTAGAGGGCAGCGTCAGAGAGTGTCCTCCCTTTCTTTCTAGTTTATTCTTTGAGCACGGTTTCTGGCTCAAGCTTCTCCACAACTTGGCATGGTCAGGCTTAGCCACTCTGATAAACATGGAGTACTTATTAAAGTGATTTGAATACAGAAAAATACACGGGCAAATACAAGCCTTGATTAACAGTGCCTCTATCTTTTTTTTTTTTTTTTTTTTTTTTGGTTTTTTTTTGAGACAGGTTTCTCTGTGGTTTTGGAGCCTGTCCTGGAACTAGCACTTGTAGACCAGGCTGGTCTCGAACTCACAGAGATCCGCCTGCCTCTGCCTCCCGAGTGCTGGGATTAAAGGCGTGCGCCACCACCGAGTGCCTCTATCTTATATAATCTTGGGATCTGTAAATATAGCTTGCATAAACTTTCTCATCATTAAATCAGCTGTACTTTCCAAGGATTTGGGGTTATTTTTGGATTTTTTTAATAAGACTCTGATGGGATTTTTATTTATTCAATTTTTTAAAGTTCTGATGACTAATCTGAAAAAATAATCTTTGTATCTTTCTCTCCAAATTCTCTATATTATTTTATATCAATATTTATATCTAGTCAAACAGACAAGCCCTTGAAGAAACTTAAAAATTAGAAGGCCATTTGACTACTGCGTCCCTATGACACTGACAATTCCTGTTGACATTTGTTGGGTCCATACATAATTAAATCAGTTCTTATTTTCAGTGCAACAGCAACTCCAGCTAGAGGATTTAAAACTTGAGATAACTGGAGGCAGAATTGTAGACAGTCCTCCCACAGCCACGTCTTAAATAGGACTAATCTACACAATGCAATCTATCTCACAGCCATTCCCAGAACCATCCTGAGTCTCCTGCCAGCGGGCTTCGCTAACTCTGATTACTGGGGAGAAAAAAATAGAACATTAAGTAGAGAAGACCAGTATGATGTCTAAAAATAGACACTAATTAGATATGCTTTTTAAAAAAAAGACAAAAGCTTAGATCCTTGTTTTTCTTCTCAATGTTAATTTATTGTATAACTGCATATTGTTAATAAACCGTTTTCACTGGTGTTAATGAGTTGACAATTTATAATACTCCTTTAGATAGGTTATCTCACTAAATTGAGTTGGAATATTTATTTCAGAATTTTTTAAAAAAAAAAAGAAAGAAAACTGGGATGTCAGAAAAGCTAAGTGACGCATCCAATTACCCTCTATTAGCTTTTATTGCTGTGTAACAGATTGCCACAGACATGGTGACTAAGCAACACGCACGTATTTAGCATATGCCACGTGCACAGGTCAGGAGCCCAGGCACACTTTGGCTAAGCCCTCTACTCTGAAATCAAGGTCCTGGTAAGAGTTGCAGACTCATGTCAGGCTTGGAGTTCTTTTCCAAACTCACATCGTGGCTGCAGAATGCAGTTCCTTGTAGTTGTTCCTTAAAGCTTAAACTGCCAGGCTTCCTGCTATTGTCAGCTGGGTTCTGTCTCAGCTCCCAGATGTCCTCCTGGGGTCCCAGTCACTTGACCACATGGCAGCCTACTTCTAAGGCAGCAGGGAAACCTCTCTCCAGCTGGCTGGTGATGGTGTCTTTTTTTCTGTACTGCATGACTATCCTTGCATCCGTCAGTCAGCTGTCCATCGCGGTGCTATCTTAAAGAAAAAGGTTGATTTTGTCACAGAGTCTCAGAAGTTTCAGCTCACAATTCTGATCCTCATCTCCTTGGGCCTGTGGCCAGAGAGAGAACCATGGTGGAAACCTGCCGCTGATCAAGATCACTCCTATCATGGCAGCTGGAAAGCAGAAGACAGAAGAAGGGAATGAACCAGGATTCCAAATCAAATTGAGCCAATGATCTCAATACCCTAATCAAGAGCACACTCCCAGTGCCCTCTTCGTTCCTCTAGGTCACACCTTCCAAGGGTTCTGTTACCTCCCAATACTGTCAAAGGCTGGCAACCAAGTCTTTTACATGTGGGCATTTAAGAGCCAAGCCCATAACTTAACAGCTTTGCCCTTTAACACAAATTAATTCTTGGAGCCACCGTCCATTATGACAACATGTACCAAACACTCCCAAAAGGAGGGTCATGGTGTTTGTACCAAGGAATGAGAATGTTAGGGTCATATTGGAACAATGCCCTCCCCAGATAGCAAGTTATGACAGCCATAACTGTTATATTTCAGACCCAGATGAGTCAAGAGTTCTTCTTACAAGCTTGAGTTATGGGTCATCAAAGGCCTGAGCACCAGTGTGTCACTCCAAGTGACATCCATCTCTCTTCGGATACCCTTTGCCCACGGAAGATACAACTGAAGTGTATTCAGAAGGACCCAGATTAGGTTGTGGACAAGGGCTGGTCCAGTCTAAAGTGGTGACAGGAACTAGAACTGTTGATGGGAACTTTCCCTGGGTGGCCAACAGCACTGACTCATCGTGTTCACAGATATGGCAGGCCTATTGGCGTGTGGCTGCCAGCTCCCTTTGTGGAACCACTGTCTTCGCTTCTTCTCATAGGCTTCCCCTAACCCTGACCAGCACCAACATTACCTCCGGCCTCCAGCCCCCTGGTTTCTACTGTTTGTTTAACATTTGTTTCCATGGCCAACAAATGGTCATCTTATGACATCCTCCTACCACAGGGGACTCTCCTGGAGAGGTCACCAGTAGTTACACTAACTGCTTCCACAGCCTGTCTTGTACTGTGGTTTGGCCTTGTGGCTCAGCAGTCTCTGATGGAGATCACCTGATCAGGCCTTCTCCTTGTCCATCCTGAGAATTTTCTCACACTGTTCATCTTTTTTTTCCCTCTTGATCTGGCAGTTGTGGATGAGGAGAGGACATTGGGGGGGGGGTGATGAAGAAATCACAGATGGAGGAACATGGAGGGCTGTCTGTCCCTTCAACCTGAGTCCTTTCCCAGAGCACTCCCCTGAGAAAGACCTGGTGGTCTACAATGTGATATTGGGAATTGGCTATTTCTGCCAACTTGGCACATCTGATTTCATTGCTGCATCCACTCCTGCATCCTGGCTGAGTGCAGCACTTACCACAGAGTGCAAAGCTGGTCAGAGGCTGAAGAAGTGCCTGGGAATCCCAGCACCATGGAACCATTTTCTTCTGGTGACTTCATAGAGTCTCATCATCGTCAACACTGAGCACTCTGAAGCCTCGGGTATTGGCACCAGATATTCTGGGTCTTGGTCATGGATACCCTTGATATGACATTGAAATTTTTGGTCAGTTTAAGCACTGGGAAGTCACTTTCTTATTTAGGGGCTGGCCAAAAGAGATGAGAAAATTGGTGCCGGCACATAGCCAGCCAAGAGCCCTGGTGACAATGTAGAATCTCTCAGTTTATAACAATGTGAGAGTAGGTTAATAATATCAAAAAAAAATAAAAAAAAATAATATCAATAGTGAAATGATTGCTCTGACATCATGGCTAACAAAAGACCAGATAAACACACATACACACTAAACAACACACTTAGATGCTGGTACCACTGTTCTCATTCTTGTGATAGATAAGACACCAAATTCGTCAGTAGAACCCTAAGTGGTAAAGCAAGCTTTGAATCCAGGTCCTCTTTCCCCTCTCTTGACAGATGTTTCACCGACTGATGTCCACACTTCGGGGTTCCGTTTCCACTGGGCCAGCTGCCTTCTCCATCAAGAGGAGTAACAGAGTCACTGCTAGACCATATGGTACCTTTCCATGAGTCAGAACAAGGTATTTCTTCATCAAAACACTGGGATGTTCTCTGCCAAAAAAATGCTGGCGGATAAATAAACATATACATCTCCCACATCTTCAATCCGTCTGGCGGTACTCCTGAGGTGGTTCAGTGTCCAATCTCACAGTTCCGTGAAGCAACCCCTGGGGAAGAGGCACAAATTGTCTTGTATGGTCTAATTCAGTGTTAATAGGATTGGTCAGGACTGTTGTGTCTTGAGCCCAGAAGGCTTGCTCTCTTATAGGAGTTTGAGAGTTCTATGTCTCTACTGTAATGGAAGATAGCTTCCAGATGACTCAGAAAGATTAGCGGGCTTCTCTTTTCTCCAGTTTCCCATTCCTTTGTGAGCTCTGAAAACCCAGGGGTGGTTAATCACAACATGTAGCTGACCCCACTTCTCCCCAGGGCCATGACAAACCACAAAGATGACAAGCCACAGGCCAGTGTGCAGGGAACCTACCAGACCTGTGAAATTGAGTACAGCAGAGCAGGTAACCCAGCGAGACCATCCCATAATGTTCCCTCTCCATCCGGAGACCACCCAGTAGCTCTGTTTGTTCTGAAAACTGCAAATGGGGAGGGATATGGAAGGAGGCAGGCTCGCGGAAGCATCCTTGAAATGACTCACAGGGTATTTGTTCTCCAAGGTGGTGTCTGAGGCGGGAGTGCGAGAACACTAATATGGCATCCAGGGAGCTCAGAAGGACTGGGAGGTGTGGTTCCCTGCTGCTGTTTTGGCTGCTGCCTGTGTCAGTAATGAGCAGGGCTTCTGATTTTTATTCCTGGCGTATGGAATTTTTCTGCCTTCGGAAGGAAGTTAATGCTAACATCATTTGGAAGAAGGATTTCAGTCTCCGAAGCCCGAAAGATCACCAGTGGTCCATGGTTCCTTCATCTCCAAGAACCTCTGTTTCCTCATCTGTCTGACCAAACTGGTGAAGGGAGGGGAGACACAGAGCATTTGTCTAGGAGTCTGGCATCTAGTACCTACATAATAATAAAGAACAATTTATTAATACTATGTCTGACTTTTCCCTGAGAGACGTGACAGTACTCTCTAGTCTTGGACCAGGCAGTAGTTTCTCCTACACTCAGCATTTGGACCTTGAAAGAAATGCTGCAAGAATGCAAAACCTCAGTGGAGAATTAATTCTGCAAGGGGCATAAATTTGTGTGCACAATCATGCTGCCAGCCTCACCTCTGCCCTCCAGTTCTCCTGGTGTGGATTGTGGCAGCAATTTTAGCAGATCCCAGTCTCCTGAGCTGAGGAGATAAGCCAGTATAGGCAGTCCAATAAGAAGAGGCATTTAGCAGTATACTCTTGTTATTACGCTGCATGGTTCTCTTTGGATCCTGTTCCAGCTGCTCCTACTGCTTCTGCATCTCTGCTGTCAAACCTAGATCAAGACATGGGCCATGGAGAAGAGGACCAGAGAGTCTGGGTACAGCCAGGGACAGACGAGCCTGAATGGCTCATCCCCTTAATGACTTCTCTTTGAGACAGGATTTCTCTTTGTAACAGCCCTGGCTGTCCTGGCTAGCCTTGAACTCACAGAGAATCACCTACCTCTGTCTCCCAAGTGCTGGGTTAAAGGCATGTGCAGTCACCGCCCAGCTTAGAGAGAACATTTTTGTTGTTGTTGTTGTTTTGTTTTGGATTTTGATTTTCCAAATTCATCCAAAGATCTGTGATGGAACCTGGCATCCCATGTGTAGAAAGTACACATTCTACAACTGAGCAACACCCTTGTCCAGTAGAGATTTTCAAAGCCAGGAAAAGAGGATGAAGTGGTGAGTGAAAACGACCGAGATTTGAAAGATCCAGAGCTTTTCCAGCTTGGCTGTGCAGATTGCGTGGTGCACACCAAAACAGCCATCCATGAGCGGTCCCCAGAGAGGCTAACATCGCCTCTCCTTTGTCACAAGACAGAGGAGTGCACAGCTGTGCTGTCCCCAGTCACCTTTCATCTCTCCAAGGACTCTGAAGAGAGTTGGAAGTCTAGCTTGAGGCCACGCAGGGCTGAGCATCTCAGAGGGACTCTGAAAGCAGAGGAGCACTGCACTGAAGAAAACGACGATAATTTTGTTCCTTTGAATTCTGTTTCCCTACTTGCCACTTGTCACCTTGGGGATTACAGGCTGTGGAAGGTAGAGGGTTATGAACTGTGTCTTGGTAAAATACAGGTCTGTCTCCAGCACAGCTCATCCTCCTGATAGGGGGGCCATGGTGACACTCCATTTTTTCCTTAAACAGTAATCTAGTGCCTAGATTCATGAGCTTATTTTTTTTAAATTATTATATTGACTAATTAAGTTTTGTGTGTGCATGTGGCACAATGTGCAAGTAAGGCCAGAGGACAACTTGCAGGAACTGTTGCTTCTCCTTCCCACGACGTGGGTCCCAGGGATGGGATCCAAATTCTCAGGCTTGGTGGCAAGTGTCCTCATCCACTGAGCCAGGTCGTTGGTCCTCAGATTCTTAAACTGTGGGTCATGACCTCACACAGGGTTGTGCAACTCAAAGTGCGTGCCACAAGAAATCTGAAACAGTAAAGGGCTCTGACGACACAGGGACCAAAAATTAATTTAAAATCAAACCTGATCTGAGTCTGGGATGTTTCTGGCAGGAGCTCGCTCTTGCTCCATTGTATGACTTCACTGCAGCCTTGGTTCTCAACACACCACACACACATTTTGCCCTGAAAGTGCTACAAATCTGCATTGTATGTCATGAGTTAGTGGTTTACCGTATGTACCATGTTCTGTACATTCCAGAACAATGCAAGTATTAGCATCGAATCAGTAGAACTTTGGATTGCATCGGGTTCAAACATTTGATTTTCAAAATTGCTGTTTGAGTTGCTGCCTTCTGTTTAATATGTTTAATTATTGAGTACATTTGGGCTTGGGAAGACTTCCCCAGCAATTTCTGAAAAGGCCCTAAACATGTGCCTACTATTTTGCACTATGTATTCATGCAAAGCACTGTTATCGGCATTTTTGATCATAACATCAAAATATGATTGATTTTGAAAAGTGTTGAAGACTCCATAGTAACAATATCCAGCCAAGGTTAATTCTTATGTAAAAAACAAACACATGAATTTATATCTGGAGCATGCAAATTTGCTTCAATCTCCAATAAACTCTAAGTTATGTGTATACCAAAAAATTGTGTTGTGTATGTGTGTGCTCACCCGTGTGCACACATACACATGCATGTATCTAGAAGTCAGAGACCAATCTCACCTGAGGTTCCACGGGTGCTTTCCACATTTATTTTTTTGAGATAAGGTCTCTCGCTGACCTGCTGGGACTCATCAAATCCATGAGGCAGGCTGGCTAGTGAGCCCCCAGCATCTGTCTCTTCCTCCCCAGGGCTATGATTACAAACACGTGCCACCACGTCCAGGCTTCTTTACATGGCTTCTTGGGATCAAATACAGGTCCTCCGACTTGTAAAGCAGACACTTTACCAAAAGTTCTGTCTCCAGGACCCCCAAATAATTACTCTAAAATAAATTTCTTTGTGACTTACTTGTGGCAAATGTCTGATTTATGTGCCTATTTTATGGCTATGTATACCCTGAGTCATAGAAGAACTTCTCAGGCACAAAGGGACCACACAAGGGGAGATGTCTATGAAGTCCCCGTTGAGCAGATACAATTAGATTTAAATTCAGGGCAGAGAAGTGAAATGTTGCTGTAGAAAAGTCAGTGCTGAGCCAAATAGCTGTCCTGACTGATGTCAAGCAGGGTTTTCCCTAAGAGACCACCTTTCTCTGTGAGGAGGCGTGTTGGGAGCAGTGAGACCCCAGATCCTGAATTTCTTGTAATCCCCTGATCTGAGTGCCTACAGCTGCTCTGAGCACGAGACCTTCAGGAGTTCCTGATGGCAGGAGAGTGGTTTCTGGTGGGTTTGGCTGGGGTGTGGCTATCTCTATATAATCTGTCCCTGAACACAATAAAGGGGGCATTCTTGGGGAATTCAAGGATGACCCGTGTCACCGTCTCTCTCTGTCTGTGTGTGTCTGAGTATTTTAACCTCCAGCCCTCTTGCCCGAAGCTCGGTAACTTGGTAATAGCGCACAGAGCGCAGACACGGGGGTGCGGTGCTTGGCAGAGGCGGACTTAGCAAGGAACTACCTGCTGTCTGTTAGTCAATAGCAATCAAATGATGGCAGACATACCCTAAAGTATCATGACCTTGTTGAATGACCATCAAGACAAGAGGGGGACTCCATTTCTTCCAGACTGTGAAGTGGACAAGAGAAGAAAGCTCTGCCATGGCTCCAGAATAAGTAATAACACTCTATACTGCTCCTGAGGCCATCGCCTTCCTGGCCCAACTCTTTAAGGGTGGGGATAAAAAGAGCTATCTGATGTCTGGGTAAACACCTTAGAAAATTTCATTTGTTTTTGGTGATTTCTGTTTCTTTGTGCTTCGCCTTGGTTTGCCTTTTGCTTCTGCCTCCTTCTTTGGTGGTTTGTTCTGGAGGTTCAGACTGAAAGGGTGGTGTGAAGAGTCTCCCAGAACCGTCGGAGGGAAGGGAAAGAAAGGGTGCTTCAGCGTAGGCTTGTTTTCTCGTGCAGCCTGTGGAAACTGGATAGTGGGCTCCTGAAGCAGAGACCTGCGGCTTAATGGCACTGAAGAGAAGCCGGGGGTGGGTGCTGGAGTGATGGAAATGAGAACGGAGCTGCACAAGCCTGTGGGGGAGAGAAGGAAGAGGGAGGTTGCTAGGCAACTTCCCAGGGCAGAGGAGAGAAGTCTTGGGGGAGGAGGTACCTTCAAGGGCACCACTTTTTGCAGTGGGTGGCTACATGTGGTGGAACAAACAGACCCAAGAGAGGTTGGTCACACCTAGCTGGCAGTTCTAGAGATGCTTCTTGCAATAATAAACAGTCAGGAGGAGACCAGGGTACCAAGACCCAGGAGTGTGGCAAATGGCCTGAGCAGCAGCTGGGATGCAAAACAAAAAGCCCAAACTGTTTATTCTACAACTTATACCATGGAGAACAGAGCGGTCCAACTGGCGGAGGCTAGGAGCTGTAGTTGAAAAACACATTCGCTAAGTGCAAAGTAGGTACCATGCTTTGGGGTACCTCCTGGGAGGGAAAGAGAATCATAAAATCCTTACCCTCGTCAGCCCCTCACCAAGCCTTGCCAAGGAGATGTGAATTGCTGGGTGGGTGTAGCTGCAGAGCAGAAACAACGCCTTGTAGGTATGGCTTGACCAGTCTACAGGGCAGGGTTGTGGGCTCTGGAGTAGTGGTGGCCTTGAGGGATGCGGGTGATAATGGTACCCACGTCAGAGGGGTTGCTATGAGAACTAAATGAGTTCACAGCTATAAGGTGCGAAGCATAACATCCAGCAAATGATGAGGTTTGCTCAGTAATTTCTAAACTGAGGAAGGAGGCCAAGAGCTCAGTCCTGAGTAGGGCATGAGACTCTCTCCGTCCACACGCATTTTATAAATGCAGCTGCAGCTAGAAGAGGCCTGGAGGTTGGGAGCCAACTGCTTGCCCAGTTTGCCACTGTAGGTTCTTTGCTCATCCTAACAGAGAGTGCATACCATTGAAAGACACCTTCTCTGAGGAGGAGGCCATGCCTTGAAGCTCAGATACGCAGGTCAGAGTAGAAGCATATCTGAAAAAAATACAACTGTCAATTCCCTCCTCCTGTTTTCTTGTTTTCCTTTGCTGTCACCTGGAGTGAGGAAGAATGGGTGTGTGTTATGGTACATGATATTTTCCGTCCAGAGTCTGCTTGATCATGTCTGCTCAATCCCTTTCTCTTTCCTCCCTCTCCATCTACAAAGCCTCAAGATTGCTCCTCAGTCTCCCTAGAATGGTTCCGATGTCCTTATTGCTCCTTCGTGCATACTGGAAGTTCATCATTTCCAGCTGTCTTGGCCAGACAAATGCACTGCTGGTTGAACAAACATAACTTTAGACCTGAAGATAGACACACAGTGTCTCAGTCCTTCCCATCTGCGACGTGCTGAGGTCTAGACAAGGGTATCCTAAAGGCCCATGTGCTGAAAGTCTTAGCCTCCTGCCTATTACATTATTAGTTGACGGAATCTGGAGGAACTACTGCATTCTTGGAGGAAATAAGGTCACTGCAGGTGCCTTTGAAGGGCCCTGACCTTGACCTCTCTTCTTCCCAGATGTCAGGCTGCAGCTCACCACATGCTCCAGCCATGACATGCTGTCGGACCACATGTTCCAGCATGAGGACGCATCATCATGGATGGAAGCCTCCAAAGAAGTGAGCCAAAATACACTTTTTTCCATTTTAGGTTCATTTACTTTAGCATCTGATATAGCAACAGAAACTTGATTGGCAGACAATAGGGTGATTGATATCTGGTCAAGGCAGCTGACACTCAGGTAACTCTGGCTATAGAATATACAGGGCTTTATGGCACAAACCCTTGCTGAGAAGGAGACAGGAAGAAAATGCTGCCACAGAAGCAGGGGGAGACCTGAAAATGCATTTCTTTTATGACGAAGGCTACCTTGCCACGCCCACTGTTCTCCTCCCAGCAGACCACCAAGGACTACATAGAAGAGAAAGGCATATGGCTGAGACCACCTTCCACCCTTAGGATGTGGCCAGAAGGGGGAGGCTCTTAAATTAGGAAAGCCTCCATTGTCTGACCCAACCCAGGCTTTCTGGCCAATCCAGATAAAGTCTGAGAATCTCTTACTTGATACCCCATCTGAGGGCATCTAACTGGGGACAGGCAGAGAGTGCCCTTTCAATGTCTCCTTTCTGTAACAAGCCATCATCTCTGTGTCTAAGTACTGGGACATCTTTGGGGGAGGGAGTGAACGCTGCCATCGCTCCCTAGGTGAGGACTCTTCAGGCCCCATGTGGCTGGTCGGCTATCCCCACCCGCCTCCATCTGTTGTGCTGGCCTTATGCCTGCTTGCAAGTACACTGGACCCTTGACCTTAGGCACACATCCAAGGCCACACGGGCTTAGATGGCCAGTCTGAGTCATGCTGAAGGTGCCATCTGTCCTGCAGGAAGACTGCCCCCCTTGTCGGTCCAAAAGCACTGGCTCCTTATTTTAATCACAGCTGGTAGCTGCTATTTGCTGAACAGAAATATGTGAACAGTCAGCAAAGGGAGGCTTGTACGTAGTTCAGGGGCAGCTTCAGATTTCCGCTGGACATTTCAAACAGTGCAGGCTTACCTGCAGAAACAGGGACCCCAAACTCATAATCAATGAAATTAGAAAATCACCCAAGAATAAAGAATGAGAAGGACTCTTAGGAAAACAGAGAAATATTTCAGTAATTGGCAGAATAACTCAGTAATATTTTTTTTTCTAATCTGCTACAGTTTACAGGGCAAATGTTGCCCAGTGGCCTATGTTGTTAAAATCTAGTCTCTAGCCCGAGGCAACGAGGAAAGGGTGGAACCTTTAAGAGATGGGGCCTGGAAGAAGGTAGTCAGGCTTTAGGGGACACACCCTGGAAGGGGCATTTGGACTCTGGCCCTCTCCCTTCTCTCTTTGTTTTGAGGTGTCACATGGTGAGCTGCTATCTTTGCTGCGTGCTCCCTCCATCCCAAGTACAGACAGTGGGCCAACCTCCGTCCACAACTATGAGCCAGCATCGCCCTTCCCTCTTTTTAAGTTGACTCTCTCGGGGCAGGGGGATGTCACAATAAAGAAAAACTACACATCGCAAAAATCAAAACTGGCAGAAAGGCTCTTAAGGTTTCTCTGAGGATGATTCGGAGGAAGGTCCACACTTCCCACCCTACACCATCTCAGAACACACCCAGGCGTCTCACAGAGAAGTAACAAGATGAGGGGCTCCCTGCAGGTATCCAGGCAGGGAAGCGAGCCGACGAAGAGATGAGAATGAAAACCTGGTTCAGACTGACTTCGTCAACCTGGATCAGACTTTGGGGAGTCTAATGCCAGAAGGTTTATTGTAGGCACATTGAAACACAACAGAATTTGGAAAAGGTTTTCCAGGCAACAATAATTCCCATAATTATTCCAGTTCCAGTTGTCCAATAAAGCTTAAAGTGTGACTACAAAGGAACTCCTTACATGTGGCCCTGAGGGTGTTCTGTCTGGAATCTAGTGCAGTCTCTGACCAATAGCATAGAGGTCAGAGGGTCATACAGTGCGTGGGACATGTCCCCTAACGTCGGATAATGTCCTAGGGAGCGGAGAGTCTAGGATAATCATTCTGGAGAATTTGGATGAGGTCTGCCTCCACAGACAGCAAAATGGTTACCAGATCATTAACAAAATCCACTTCCAGCCACCTGGGCAGGAAAGCATTTTATCCCCTCCATTGCGAAGAGGTCCCTCCCTGTGTGCTTCAAATTCCTGGTTTCCATAGTGATCTGTGGGCGTAAGGACTTTTGTGGCCCCAACAGCAAAAGTCCAACATTTCACATCATCAAAGAGAAGGGACTAGCCCCAGACATAACACTATTGTTTTTCAAGTCTTGGCAGTGAAAAGGTTAAAGGGAATGCCTCTCTCCCAAAGGCCTCTGGGTAGAACTGGAAGCAATTACTAACAAAGCTAGCTCCAAGGCAATCCTTAAGCTTGTATTTGTTCCCAAAGTTTATTGGACACGGTCAGTTGCTCCTTCAAGCTCCAGTGGCCTTGGTCCTTTCTACCTCAGTGACATCTCAGAGTGTTTTTATAGTCTCTCTCTCCCGAGTGTTCCAGCACACCAGATACTGACAGCTACAAGCTGGATCGTTCCAGGGTCTTATCCACCTCCTTGCATTTAATTCTTGAGTATTTGTTTAAAAATTCTCCATTCTCTTATTTGAGTTTGCCTTGCAGTGAACGCTTAGCTGGGGGCAGGTGTAGAGGAAGATGGGGCCTGAGCATCTTTTCTGCAGAAAGACAACTTCCTC